CATGACTTCATATATACTAATTCATTCAACTTCATACTTACAGCACTGGACACATTTTTTTTTCCACATAAAACACAGGTATGTTAAGCTACCCAAACTCAGGTATCTGAAATATGGTAGGACCAGGATTTAAACACAAGCTGTCTGGTAGGCTAGCTACCTATTTAGGAATGCCGTGCCAGTATCACCCTACTTATCCTTAATTATTTTAAGAAAATCCTAACATTTAGGAGAACAATCATAGTTACAAGGGTACATTATGGCAATTGTGGAGAAAATTTTAAATCTGGTAACTCGAGGCCATTATCTTTACAATATTCTCTGGGTCCACACTGAATGATTTTGTTTTGCTGGAATTAGGGTCCCACGAGCTGACTCATATTGCTCAAGAGTTTCTGCAGCCCCACCTTAACCCGAGAAGGCAAATAGAACATTTATTTGATAGATACCAAATATAATCTTAGCATGTTGCAAATTTAACTTTAAATCTTCAAAGTTAATTCTTTATACTTCTTTAATGCATATGAAGACATTCTTATTAAAAGATACAATTCAATTAAAATTAAGAAAATAAACCCAATATATCATTATTCTAATAGAGTATGGAGGAATGTCACTTACCAATACTGCACTGCAAACATGAAAAATCTAATATTTAAAGCCTCTGATAAACTGATCATAGTTACTGAACAGCAAGGAAAATATATCACTTCTATTATCTTCAAGACGATGTTTGTTTCCTCTTATATTTTGGCAATGACAATTTATTACACAAGGTTATATTCTAATCATGATATCCTTTACCTTATAATTACAGAGAAAAATCCTTGAATCCTTGGAGCAATACATCTAGCACTTTTCATGTTGTCTTCATTATTTAAACAGAGTGTAATAATCATGGAATTGGCACTATTTTGTTAAAATTCACAGTTAATCTGTTAATTTGTCTTCTCAGAGAATCCGTTTTAATAATGCTCTTACACTCGCTGTGACATTTCATACTACCAATTTACTGAATATCCATTGATCTTTGTCTCAATATATTATGAGTTTTATATTTATGATAATTTTTATTACCACATGTTTTCATAATTTCCACAAATTTATTACTAATTTGTGCATTCTTATGATATAATTAAATGTAGTACCATATTCATTAGCCAATTAAATATAAGTAGCAGCCTATAATACATTTAATAATTTAGTAGAAATGTCTTTCTGCTAGTCAATTCAAATGGAATTTCTATATCTAAGCAATAGCAATTACAATAATATTTTACCTATCATAGCAATAATTTACATATTTTATATTAATATTTCACATAATATAGGAACTTTTCTTATAAGTACTCAAACACTAGAAAATATATTTTAATAATCAAGCCAAACTCAAAATAACCTAAGCCAAACTCGACGTATTCTTTACTTGCCAGATATCACCATAATCTCTTATTTTAAAGCTGGAGGAAAAAATTTCATCTCTCTCTCTCTCTTCCTCTCTCTCTCTCTAAGTTGTAGTATTTTGTTATTTCCCAAGATGCCCTCTGTTAATTTCAACGTTATAAAATCTGAATCCCCACTTTTCCAGTCATCATTCATGATCTACGTCATGTAGTCTTCACCAATAGTCTGCTAACTAGTCTCTAGTATCCTTCCATCATCTTATACCATCTTCTTAGTGGTTAAAGTAAACTTCTCAAAGTACAACATTGTTTCTGTCACTCTACCACTTATAACTGTCCAGTGACTCTTCATTGTTTGACTCAAGTATGGCGCATTTTGATACTATTTCATTTTTATAGACTTTACTGATTCTCTTAAATTGTGATGGATTAAATGTGCCTCACTTCCCTTGCTCAGATTTATGCTCGATTTTCCTTTTTATCCATATAATTTCCTTTGTCATTTACCTTAAACCTAATTTTTAAAGATTCATTTCAAATCCTGCTTCTTCTATGAAGAATTCCCTTTCCCATCTCCACTAGAATTGTAAAACCCCATATAACCTTAAAGTCTGCTTGTAGCACTTAAAATATTCTGGCTAGACAAAGAATTATTCATCTATTAGTTTCTACCCTTCTTTAAGCTATAAATTCCTTGAAGGGAGGACCTGCATCTCCTGCACCTCCTGCAGTACCAAACAGAAAACTCACTCCAAAGAAGATGCTCAGAAATATTTACTGTATGATTGGATTACAGCAACAGCAAAGAGCATGTGGAAATTTGAAACCATAGGCAGATCAATTTTTAACCAATTTAGAAAGTATTGAGTATAAGAATGCAGGTAAAAAATAATTTGGCCATTTTGAGCTAAATTTTCTTTTCTTTCTCCTCCTCTTCCTCCTCCTGCCCCCTTTCCCTTTCCCCTCTCCCATTTCCTTCCCCTTCCTCCTCCTCCTCCTCCTTCTCCTTCTTATTTCTTCTTTTGAGACAGAGTCTCCCTCTATCAGCCATGGTAGACTTCGGTGGCACAACCATGGCTCATTGCAGCCTAAGCCTCCTGGCCTCAAGCAATCCTCTCACCTCAGCCTCCCCAGTAGCTGGGACTACAGGTGCACACCATCGTGCTCGCCTAATTTTCTTTTTCCACAGAGACAGTGTCTCACTGTTTTGTCCAGGCTAGTCATCAACTTCTGGGCTCAGGCAATCCTTCTTCCTAGGCCTCCCAAACCTAAATGTTCTTAATATGATAAATGCATACTGTACATCTAGAGGGTCTAAACACTTTTGAGTGTGAGAACCATATTTTGATGTCAAGGTTTGCAAATATCATGTATTTTATAATCATATTTTCATTGACTCTTAGTCAATAGTCATAGGCATTTCTTAAAAAACGCCTATGAAATTATAGATTAGGAACTTCCTTACAAATACCCAGCAGCGTTTTCATACCCTCTCTCAATCCTTAGATTAAGAAGGTTCTAGAATACCTTTGAAACTGGTCTTTGCAGATAATATACATGAAGCATTTATTTGTATTCCTGACTCATAATATGTACTCTAAAATGTGAGTGTTAGTACTCACTATTACCATCACAGCTATCCTCATGTTCTAAATCCCAATTCTGTGTTTAACCCTTTTCTCTGCTTCTACTTTATAATGTTATTAAGCTCATTCCTGAGACATATTTCACAGTTTCATATGACAGAATATCTTTCTGCATCAGTCTCCCAGATCTCCAAGATGCCTTAATTTTTACCTCTTTCACTAATTTTTTTTTTTTTTTTTTTAAACAGAGTCTTGCAGTCTTGCTCTGTCGCCAGGGTGGAGTGCAATGGTGTGATACTGGTTCACTGTAATCTCTGCATCCCAGGTTCAGTCCCCCGAATAGCTAGTACTACAGGCACGTGCCACCACACCCAGCTAATTTTTGCATCTTTAGTAGAGATGGAGTTTCACCATATTGGTCAGGATGGTATCGATCTCCTGACCTCATGATCCACCCACCTCAGCCTCCGAAACATAAGCAAGAGCCACTGCGCCCAGCCACCTGGTTCACGATTATGTGTTGTTTGGTTACTTTTCTCTTTTCTACCTCTTGCATTTCATTCTCCCTGTCACCATGTTATTCTTTATATTCTTACCATCCTTACTGCATTTTCAATATACTGCCTTTTCTAGACGCATCATCTGGATGCATCATGCACCTTTTGGTGCCTGCTATTAATTAGTTGCCTTTTTTTCTCTCTTCAACACCTGACCCAACTGCCGTTCATATTACAGTTGAAAGTCACTTTATAAAATAGACATATTCCTGAATATCAAGAGTAAAAACAATTTTTTTATAAATAAAATCTTACTCCACATATGCAAAGAAAGAATATTTTTAAATAAACTTACTGTGAAGTGAATGATCATAGTTTGTATCAGTGCACACACCAAAAATGTGTGGTCCTGACACCTCTTTCTTTTACAACCTCTGAATCTAATTCCATATTTTATCTATGGCTCCCTACTTCCTACTCTCTTTTGAAGTGCTAGGTTAACAAACAGAAACACACACTCACACACAGGGACACAAACACCCGTCCCTTTTCCCTCCTTCCTCATACCTGTGAGTCAGACCACACTGTCTCAAGCACACCATTGCTTTTCTCTCCTCCTCTTCCTTCCTGCTCACCCTCTGCACCTGTTTGTCCTTCTCCCTGTCTGTCATTGTATTACCACTCTGCATTTTGCCGGTCTGTCTCATCCTCTGCTTTATTTCCATTACAGCTAGAGTGTTTTTCAAGCTTAACATCTAACATATTAGTTCCTTTCCTTCACCTTGTAATATCTGATTTAATTTGCCTTTTCCTTTCTCTCGAGTCAAAAAGGTAGTCTCAAGTCAACTTGACTTGTAAACACAGAAGGCATACCTGGATCTATTCCCATGATTGAGGGAATGTGTTCTCTTTCCGGGTCCATTAGGGGTGTAGCTTTAAGGGCAAGAATTTCCCTGGCACCATGCCGCCCTCCCATTTCTCTCCTTTCAGGAGATTCAACGGTTTATGTTTGAATTTTGCCAGCGTGGGAGGAAACTAAAAGTCAATCCAGTGGAAGTTCTAAGGAACTCCGTTCATTGGCCCGGGGTCTTGGAGAAGGTGGGGATTTCTCCCAGGATAAACGTTCATGCTCCCTCACCTGTGCCGGATTTTCCAGGTTTCTGGAACCCCCTCCCACACGGTGGGAGCTCCCTCCAGGATTTCCCCTCTGGAATCCCCTTCCATACTCTTCGTGGAAGCCTTTCTCCTCTTCTTTCCTTCTCTTTTCTCTACTTAAATAAAATCACCTCCCTGCAACATTTTTTTGGGTCGGATATTCACATTAGGAGCGGTCCACCTGCAGTGGCCCCACCGCTTATTCCATAAGAGGTTGGAGGCCAAGAACCCACAAGGATCACCAGCATTCAAGAAAAACCTGGTTACACGATGAACAGGATCTATGCTCCATCCTTATAAACAATACATTGTCTACCACAAATGTCAAATCATATCTTAATATCAATATGAATACTTACACTCAGCATATTTCTGAAGCTGGGAAAACTCTGAAGGGCTGAGGTGGGCCCATTTTTCCTGGTTTGTCATGGTGGTGGTGAGAAGCTCTGTCACATACCAGGTAAGGGATTCTTTTTTCAGGTGTCACGCAGAGCTCTGTGCTTCAGAAATTCCACATGGCATGTTTCATGATAAAACACCTCAGGCTGTCAAAATATGCAATCTGTCCACACGAAACCGCTTCGGATGTTTGCAGTTTCAATAATGTGTTAAAGAACTGCAAAAAAAAAAAAAAAAAAAAAAAAAAAAGGATCAAGATCTAAAGATTAACATGATGGCACAAAGGAAAAAATATCAAGGTGTAGAATGTTTGTTAAATATTTTTTAAATAATATAAACTAAGAGTACAAATTGTGAAGAGAATTTTATAAAGTACGTTTCTGTAAATGCAAATTTTCATGTTCAGTGTTACAAACGCCACATTCCAAGAATAGACAGCGGTATCATTTTTATCAGTCTGTACCAATCCATGTTTTAATATGTAAACATAACATATAAAATATACACCTAAATTATTAAAGGAGGCTAAAATAAGCTCTCTAGCATCCTGTATATGCAATTTTCTGGTTTACAGTATAGACTGCCAATAATTGCTTGGAACGTTCATCAGCAGTATTATATATATTTCCAACCATACAAATTAATTTCGGAGAAGTCATATACTTTTTTTCTAGCAATCAAATAAAGAGAAAGTTTTGATTATATGATTTTTTAAAACTCCAAAAGATTGGCCAAGTTAAAGCAATTCCAAATGTCTGAAAGACTTGTGTAATGACAGTAGATGACTCTATTGTGAATCATGCTTTAAAATAAATCTCTAGGTTGTCATGGACCTACATTCACTGGCTATATCTGTAAAGGCAAACAAAATGAAAAACCATCTGGTTTCAACATTTTTATCAGACACTATTATCAACTGCTCAATAATCAGCCAGATTGGCACCGTATTCTTTACAGAAAATGAAGTACTTAGTGAGAATTACTTTTTTGTAGAACTGTATCATTGCAAGGCTTATTTATACAGATGTCATTACTTAAAGTCACCATACTTCTGCAGACAAGAATCACTTGGTCTTAGCATCTTTCCTTTCTTCAACGTCTCTTCACTGTTTTCCAATATCAATCCCAGGATATCACTGTCAAATCCTATCATCCTCGTCTTTAAAAATTGTTCTTTTTGGTCTCATGGGGTCAGGGTTCCTGCACTCCACTTTACAATGTGGTAGAGCTTGCTATATAATGGAGGAAAATGATGACATTGATGTGTTCACAGAGGCCAAACTGCTGCATGTCTTTAGTCTTTTCTCCCAGGGGCAACTACAGGTTTGGGGAAGCAACAAAAGTGAAAGGGAATGGGAACGTGCGATGGACATTTGTATATATCTTCCACCCAGTTTCCTTCTGCTGATTTCATCTTTCACACTAGTTTCATCCTCTCTGCTTCTCTCCGGTTATAGACAATTTTGGTGGGACTGTAAAATGATGTGCTCTGTCCTCCTCTAACCAAAGGGAGACAGATGATTCTATCACACTGGCACATTATACTCTGTCTTCCAGGGCTTTAAATGTTGAGTGAAGTGATTCAAGGACAGGGTGAAAATGGTTGTACCTAAATCATAACAGAAATAATTGGATACTTGTTCCTCTTTAAACCTGACTCTCCAGCTATCTTGTCACTTCCAGAAGCTTGTGATATTCTTTTAATAAAGGATTAAGGCCAGGCATGGTGGCTAATGCCCGTAATCCCAGCACACTGGGAGGCTGAGGCAGGAGAATCGCATGAACTCGGGAGGCTGAGGTTGCCATGAACCGAGATCGCCCTACTGCACTCCAGTCTGGCAACAGAGCAAGACCCCATCTCAAAAAAGAAAAGTATATGTATACCGAGACATCACGCTATACCCTATGAATATAGATGATTATAATTTGTTAATTAAATTTTTAATTTTTTTTTTAAAGTCAAAGATTAGGTGAGTCAGAATAAGTTTTTCATTGCCAACAATGCAAAAATCTTTTTTTTTTTTTTTTTTTTTTTTGTTGTTGTTGAGACAGAGTTTCGCTCTTGTTACCCAGGCTGGAGTGCAATGGCGCGATCTCGGCTCACCACAACTTCCGCCTCCTGGGTTCAGGCAATTCTCCTGCCTCAGCCTCCCGAGTAGCTGGGATTACAGGCACGTGCCACCATGCCCAGCTAATTTTTTGTATTTTTAGTAGAGACGGGGTTTCACTATGTTGACCGTGATGGTCTCGATCTCTTGACCTCGTGATCCACCCGCCTCGGCCTCCCAAAGTGCTGGGATTACAAGGCTTGAGCCACAGCGCCCGGCACAAAAATCTTAACTGGTGATAACAACAGTTTGTTGTTCAAATATTCATTCAAATATCTGTTGAGCCTTGCTGTCTGCCAGAAAGCTTTCTAGGCAATGAACATAGAGTGAAGATCAAAACACACAAAAGATGAAAATAATGCTAATGCAACCATGTGCCAGCTTTACCAAGAGCTTACAGTTAGCAAACAGCACTTTCTTAATCACATTACTGTATGAGGTCATTCAATCTTTAGAAAGCAACTCTGTGACATAGGCGCTAACAGCCTCCCCTTTGTCAAATGGAGAAAGTGACACTGGTGACTGAATCTGGTAGGTACAGCTCCAAGCCTACCCAGTGTCCATTCTCTTTTGCTTATTGGATAATAAGAAAGATGGTGGAAACATATCCCTTTAAATGACTGCATTTCCCAGGTTCCTTGCATGAAGCAGTGGCCGATGAGATTTAAGCAGATGTTGATGAGGCATATAGAAAAGTTCTGTTAGAGGAAATAGTCACTGGCAAGTGCTCTTTTAACCTTTTTTCCTTTTCCTCCTCCTTCCTACCTGAAATGCTACCATGTTGGCTGCAAATCCAGAAGTTTCTTGTGCTAAAAAGATAATTTTAATATGGAAGCTATGTATTAGGGATAGGAGGCCCACAAAACTAGAGAGGGGTAGGCAAATAACTAATCGGGGAACAAATTGGGTCCACTATCTGTTTTTGTAAATATGGTTTTTTGGAGCACACATCCGTAAGAGAAACCAGCAAAGGGTTGTTTCGAAGGGATTTTAATACTAAATAATTATCCTCGGGGGAAAAAGATACAACAAAAGGACTACAATAAAAAACCAGAAACCCGATGACTCTTACATTTCTGAAATGTCAGTATCTTCATTTAGTTCCTTTCTCTCTCACTTGCGTTGTTGTAATAGCGTCTTTACTCGCTCCCTGTCTTAACACGGTCACTTCCCAAACCCCCTTGGTATCCTCGAAGGGTCATGGACAAGGATGATTCTTGAGGACTGTCTCACAAATTACCAACAAGTTAAGTAGTCAACTATAATTGTAATAATTAAGTCTTAATTTTATCTTTCTACCTGGCTATCTGATCTGAAATTAATTAAAATCCCCCAGCTGGGCACAGTGGTGCATGCCTGTAATCCCAGCACTTTGGGAAGCCGTGATGGGTGAGTCACTTGAGCTCAGGAGTTCTAGACCAGCCTGGGAAACACGGACAAACCTTGCCTCTACTAGAAATACAAAAATTAGCTGGGCATGGTAGCACATGCCTGTGGTCCCAGCTACTGAGGTGGGAGGACTGCATAAGCCTTGGAGGTAGAGGCTGCAGTGAGCTTTGATTGCACCACTATAACCCATCCTTGGTGACAGAGCCAAGGTCTTGTAACAAAGACGGGGGACCAGGGGTGAAGGGCATGGTAGAGAGAGAGAAATAGAGAGGGAGGGAGGAAAAGAAGAGACAGAAAGAAAGGATGGGAGGAAGAAAGAGAGAGAGAGAAAGGGAAAAGAAAAGATAAACATTCCCTTGTTAATTATGAGAAATTCAAACTTAAAATGACTGGAGAACTGACATCCTTAGGCTTCTACAGGAATGCTAATCATGTGTTGAGGCTCACCTGGTTATTCAGTTTAAAATTACACACTTACACACACCACCCCTTCATTAGTTTTATATTTGTTTGAATATAACATTTTAAAAGCAAACACTTCACTTAATATGTATTATTTAACATTTGTCTCCACACACTACAATTAGAGGAAACATAAGTTCTTTTGAGCCCTGATGGAATTTAACAGAAAGACCAAAGCAACTAAAAGTGCTAGGTTTGCCCTTGATTTTCATCCATCCTATATATTAGATTCTGTGTCACCATCCTGTGCTACACTGCATGATGTAAGCTCCATAGAGGGCAGGACTTTTTGTTCATGTGTTGACTGCTGTTTCCCCCGTGTTTAGAAGGATGCTTGGTTTATAGTCTCAGGCCAATAAATATTTCTTGAATGAATTCACTTATTTCCTTTTTACTCATAAAGCAAAGGTTGGGTGGAAGAATTAATTAGGAGGCCTCCAGGTTGAGTAAGAGAAAATGGTGCATAAAGGAGACGAGAACGGAAGTCACTCGGGGCTTCCATTTTCCTAGGGACTACATCCATTTTCTTCAACTGAGTGGACATTAAAAAAAAAAAAGGAGGAGGAGGAGGAAGAGGAAGAAGTTTCAAGGAGGAGGAGGAGGAGAAATTGCACTTTCAGGTACAAAGCTTTTAGAGTTGCAAACAGATGGGGTTATTTCATCTATTTTGTGAATTTTTTAAATATAAGTTAACTCCATATAAATAAGCATCATTCCCAAGGGATGCCTTGTAATGTCAGCTAACCAAATGACCACAACAACACTTACACATGATGACCAAGTATATTTTTAAATAGTTTATCAATATCTAACAAAATCACTACCTTTCTTTGATTTAGCATGACCTGGTCAATTTAGGTCTTCACTTTCTATAACAAGAACAGCTCTCTGAATTGATCTATCCCTATATGCATTTTGACAAGTGACATTTGCAGAATACTGGTATCTATGAGGGGCTCAAAGTAAATTTACCTTGGTTCTTTGATTTGGTTTACTGCAATACCAAAATGCTTTGAATAAATTCTTTCTCACCTTTCTTCTAGTGAAAGCCATGGGTTTCTCATAATTCTGATAGTTCTAACTCTCATCATGTGATATAACATGTAGCTAAATAGTAAAAATAAGGGTGGGGTACAGGTGAAGAATTTTTCTTTAGTTTACTAGTTGAACTGACATACACAAGTCTATGAAAAATGTTTCACGTATAATTTTAAATATGGAGGCACAGCTATATCTCATGCCTCAGAAGATAATGAAA